GGGGGGTACTTTGTTTGCGAGATACATTGCCTTAGTTGTTTCTGACAACAAGGTTTTCACAAATGTTTTATTGTTAGAGATATTGTTATATATTCTTATATGGTAAAATGTCAGGTGGGTTTATTTTTGGCCCAACTCACATTGCCCGCAATCAGTGCGTAATGTCTTGCCTTTAGCTCCCCGTCTCTTCATCACTTTGAGTTTCAATTTTCTTCTCTTGCCCATTCTTAAATTTGTAGTGATGCGTTCATATCATTCTTATATGACCTAAGTCAAGGGATTTCTTTTTTAAAAATAATTTGTTTGGTCTTGAGTTACGAAAGCTCATAGTCAGGTGGAACTATGGGTTTTTTGTTGTTTTTTTACTTTTTCTACCACCTGAAAAGTTTGGGCCTACTACTTGCACTCTGGGAAAAAATTTAATTTGTTTCCGAAATTGGTAAAAGCAAAAACACAAAGAGGAAATCAATAGCTGGATGCCAGGCTGCAACTAATGCAGATTTTCCCTACATGGCGTTAGTCGGATTCTCGCATCCAGCCATCAAAATAGAAGATAAAAATGAAAGTCTGGGTAATAATTTGATCTGTTGTTTGCTTGTAAGTGGAAAGACAGGGTGTGGGGGAGGAGGGGGGGGGGGATGTCCCTTTTCCTCTGCCCGATTTGTTTATGTTCTTTTATGTTCTCTGCAATCAAAAACCAAAGGCAATCTCAGATGACAGTTACCGGACATTTTTCTGTTCCTGTCTCTGCGTTGTTGAGTTTTTCTCAAGTTTCTGTTGTTTTGTTTTGTTTGTTTTGTTTTGTTATGCCATGTGTATGTCTGCAGTCAAATCAAACCATACAAAACTCATTTTCAAAGTCAAATGATTCTTTATTTATATTATGATTATTATTTATTGTGCTTTTCATGTGTATACTATTGTTTTTTTGTGTATGAACTAACCTACTAGTCAGTGTATAATTTATAACTTTACTTGTTGTGTATAGCATTGGTTGTGTATAACAACATTGGTTGTGTATAGCATTGGTTGTGTATAACAACATTGGTTGTGTATAACAACATTGGTTGTGTATAGCAACATTGGTTGTGTATAGCAACATTGGTTGTGTATAGCAACATTGGTTGTGTATAGCAACATTGGTTGTGTATAACAACATTGGTTGTGTATAGCAACATTGGTTGTGTATAGCAACATTGGTTGTGTATAACAACATTGGTTGTGTATAACAACATTGGTTGTGCAAAGATTTACTTTACTGATGTGTATGGTTGTGGGATAAACCAGTGTATTATATTTTGTGTAACCCTGCCACTGTCAGCCATGTTGTGCTTTGCACATCTTCATCTTTGTTTTGATGGCTCCTTATGTCTTACACTCTCTCTCACTGCTGCTCTCTATGACACATGCTGATTGAAGCACATCACTTGTCAATGCTTTTTCTTGAGTGATTTTCAGTAACATTGGGAGGGAGGGAGTTGAAAGGGGGTTGAACTTTTAAAGTGTGCTCCTCAAATTTCATCTCAAAATATTTATTGTGCTTTCCCTAGAACGGGTGTACACTTTTCAGTTAATTTTTTTTTTCCCAGGCTGCCTTCTTCAAGAAAACATGACCTATTTTTAAAAACCCAAAAAGCTTAAATGCTCTATGTACGTGGGAATGCAAAAACGCATCTTTTTAAATGGGTTTATAGTTTAGGGAAAGAACATTGGGATGCGCAAATGTGACTATATATATATATATATCACTATATATCACTATATATATATATATATATCAGTGAGCTGAGATGGTGTTATCGTGGTGGTCTTGGATAGATCACTGTGCCATCCACTTCTGTCTGTCTCTTTTTTGGCTTGTCTCTCTTTTTTGCTGTCTCTGCACCAGATATTAGTGACCTTTCACCTCACGCCATTGTCCATCCCTCTTGAGCTAACACAAAGGTCAAAGTGTTGCGGAGCAGCCATTTTTTACAGCAGTCTTTAATGGAGATAAACTTTGACGAAAATTTTGAGTTTAGATAAATAACTCTGTCTCATCGCTTGACCGTATTGGGAAGGTTGGGAACTGAAGAGATGATTTTTTTCTGCATCAGTGACATCCTTGAACAGTTTTTTTGCATTTACATCTTGACTTTTTGTCTTTTAATGTTCCGATACAAATAGAATACCTCGTACTATTCTGACATGAATCCACACTTTCCTAGTGACCTCCATTGAGGTATAAATACATGTATACACAGTCGAAACTGTCCCAGACATGCATCCATTGTTGAGGAGAAAAGTGGTTTTCTTAGACAGGTGGATGTCTTGGACAGTTTTATTATGATATTGTAAAAAATGAAAGGAGGGAAGTAAGAAGTGGTCATTTGTACAGTTGATTGTCTTTGATAGATGGCCATTAGAACAGGTTCGACTGTTTATATACACATTATTTATACCGTATATATATTTTAAACATACATAAATATGTTTATACATGATGTACACTGTCAGAACTGGAGAACTCAAACACCTCGGGGATTGACAAATGTGTTCAACACATCCATAATTTGGGTTAACCAATAACGTAAAATTAAAAAGATATCAAACAGGGAAGGGTAAGTCATATAAGCTACCCGTGATTTTGAGTTTTATGTGTTTGTGTTTTCTGAGCCTGACTGCTTGTTATATGTATGAGACATGTTTTTATTCTCTGTTCAATTCTTAAGGACACCATGCTTGCTGAGCTGGTGGAAACAACTGCCCTCGTCTCACTTTGGGCACATTTTTCTGGGTTATCTGTGGCTGGGGGTTCAAGGTGACAGATTTAATAATGAAACTTATACAAGGAAAAACAGTGTAGTCTCATTCTCTATTGTTTTGAATTATACCCTCATCTCTTTTTTTGTTTTGATTTACACCCTGATAATAATATACTTTTTTGGGGGATTGTTTTGATTTATACCCTGTTCATTTTGTTATTGTTTTGAGTTATACCCTCTTTTTTTAATGTTATTATTTATACCATTTTTTGTTCTTTAATTCGTACCTTAATTTGTTAAAATTTTAAAATTTATACCCCCATTTTTATTGTTTTGATTTATACCCTCATGGCCTTTTTAAAGAGAGAGAAAACGTCAGGGTCAATGCAAACATGAGCAGAGAAATTTTTTTATCCCTTTTTAGTACATTTCTAAACTTTGAAACTAAGATTTCTCAAAGATCACCAAAATGGGACAGGTGATTTGTCTCTGTAGCCTTCATAACATGTGGCAGTTCCTGAAAAGTCTTCATTTTTTGTGCTAGTGCACTACTGTCTCGAGTAAGAAGGTGAAGCAAGTTAGAAATGACGCTGTGGTTAAAGACAATGCAAAGCTTTATTTGAGACTATTTTTAGTATATTTTGATTATATTTTTGTCTCTTCTTCTGACCATATATTATATTAGGAAGAAGGTGGAAAACTGAACAGATGACTCTTCATGAGTAACTTGATATTTTTTCTGCTGGTGACCAAATGAGGCCCATGTATTTACAACGATGGTTTTAGAATGTAGCTGGAGTTGTTGTGTGACTTTATTTGGAAATGTCCAACTGGTGAAGGGTTATCCAGAATGGCCGTAGAAGTTGGTCAAATGATAATGTTAAAAGTATTGCTTGTTATTGATCCAGAGAAGGAAGTTCACTGTTAAAGTTATTGTAAAACCTTTTCTCATTCCTTGTTGTGCCTATCAAAATGTTCATGCAACGTTTCTCACATCTATTCAGGGATACCCTTACTTGTTCCTTGCTTTTTGGCAAAGATGCAAAACCGTTGACACATTTTCTTGTTACCTACTGACACATTTAATCGTTTTATCTGTACACGTTTCTTGTCATATATCATCACACGTACAGGCAGAAGTGGTGATATCGTGTTGTGGGTATTATATCGTCATTTTCCTGTCATTATTTCAGTATTTTGAATTTGTATATGGTGTATTGCCGCATTGCATTTACTGTTCACATGATATTGTCTAATTCTCTATGATGCTCAGTTTTGTATGTTTTAAAGTCATGTCCTTGGTCTTATGTAAAATAAAAGGTGGGTAAAATTTCATTTTCGGAGGAAGGGTAGGGGTTCAGTCTTCTTCTGACAAGATGTTTTACTAGATGTCGTAAGCCTATTTCCTGCTTTATTGCAGCAAATTTAGCCTTTTTAGCATCAG